AAAAAAAAAAAAAAAAAAAAAAATTACTTAAAACTATTGCATATGCATTCACTCCCCAAATTTCCTCCAAACCTTCTCCAACAGCACAAGCATTTAATTCCAAACCTATAATTTCTCTTTTTGGTCCCTCTTCTTCAAGCTTCCATTCCAACCCTTTTTCCGTCATTGATGCTTTCACGAGGCACACCTTCTCTTGTTCTGACCAAAAACAAAATAAATGTCAGCATAACAAACTGACACACCAAGTGTTTGCGTTAATTCCCCAATGGATCCCGCGAGCAATGCCCAATCCCCTATCAAAAGCCCGCAAACCTTTTCTTTCCCCGTTATAGCCGTAGCCATCACCGGCATTCTTGCCACGGCATTTTTGCTCATCGGCTACTACATATTTGTGATCAAGTGCTGTCTGAGCTGGCACCACATACACATTTTAAGGCGGCAGGCGGAGCGTTCTTCGTCAGCAGTCGAGGGCCGAGGGCTGGACGAGGCTGCAATCCGCTCGATCCCAATACTCGAGTTCAAGAACGGGCAAAAGGACGAGTCTTTTTTTAAAAAGCAATCGTGCGAATGTGCGGTGTGTTTGAGCGAATTCCAAGAAGAAGAAAAGCTGAGACTCATTCCAAACTGTGCCCATGTTTTCCACGTAGACTGCATTGACGTTTGGCTTCAGAGCAATGCAAACTGTCCACTTTGTAGAACGAGTGTCACGTCGAATGTGCATTTCTCCTTGGATCGGGAAGTTGATTTTTCGGGCCGTGGAGAGGAACACTACGTGGCAATTGAGATTGGGCCCGAAGTAGGCTGTGTGGAGCCAACCGTGCAAGAAAGTTTGGATCCACACGAGGTTTTTACGGCCATGATTTCAAGAAACAACTGTAAGAAGGTTTCAAGCATGGGAGATGAGTGTGTTGATAGTAATAGTTGAGTTAGAAGATCGTTTTTTTACCTTTGGCCAAGAAAAGGATTATTTTTGAAATGCAATTCAGCCAGTTGAATTAGACAAAATCTTTTTGTAGTGATTTTTCTTCAATTTATTTTAGGTAATTTTCTCCTTGGCCAATTGGCAATACCAAACTTTCGGGAAATTCTACAGTCCCATTACGGAACCATTCCGTCGGGGTTTGTAACCGTTAGATCATCATGTAACCGTCGGGATAGTTGATCTAACGGTTACAAACCCCGACGGAATAATTCCGTAACGAGACCGTAGCATTTCCCCAAACTTTATTACGGAATAATAATGAGGATGGATGAATTTTTAGCTAAGTTTTTTTTTTTTTTTATTATTTTTTCTTCAGGCTGGAGAATGATTCTTAAAAAAAGTTCTAAATAAGTGTTTGATGAAAACATAAAGACAACTTACCAAACTCCATGATTAATTCTTAAGGTTTATTACTTCATTCACTAAAAAAAAAAAAAATATATTGTCATATTATAGGGAAACACTACGGTCCCGTTACGGTACCATCCCGTCAAATGTTTTAACCGTTGGATTCGCATGTAATTATATAAGATAGATGATCCAACGGTTAAAACACTTGACGGGATGGTACCGTAACGGGACCGTAGAATTTCCCCATATTATAACGAAAATTCAACAGTAACATATTTCAATAGAAATTTCAACGAATATTGCAATGATATAGTTTATATTGGATTGGTTTCAATAGACATTCTAATGAAAATATATCAAAATATATGCGTTAGAATTTTTGCTGAAATTATTATTTCCGCTCATATTTTTACCGTTGATTAATAGTCAAAATTCAATAGAAAACTTATTCGAACGGAATATTTTCGTTGGATCCATTAAAAAATTTCGATAAAATAATAATATTGAAATATCAATTCGAATTATCGTTAAAATCTATCATTATATAAAATAATATCATTTTTTAAAAAAGACAGGTCAACTACCTGGTCAAATCTCTCTCATCATTAATTATTATCTATTAGTAGCATATTATTTCTTTGTTCCTCACATCACGCGTACAACATTAAACATCATACAAAAAATCCCATTAACAATTTTCTTTGTTCCTCAAATCACGCGTACAACATTAAAGATCGTGAATGTAATTTCACATAATCCCATCGCAAAAATATTGGCTTTTAGTTTCATACACATTATTGTACAAAAAATCTCATTAATGTATACCCGCCTAAAAAATCTAATGGTAATATTACAGAATACCACCGGTAAATTTAAAAAATCGCATCTCTTATGTATCTACTTTAACATATTTTTTTTTTTAAAAAAAAATTATGTAACAGAATTTTTTGTTTCTTAAAAAAGTTAATTCACTCTAAAGTGTAGTTACTAATATAAATCTTGACTACGATCAGAATTTTTTTAAGAAGTTAATTTTCACCTATCTAAATATTAATATTTTTTCAAATATTATCAACATTTATAATATTGGACAAACGTTAAGGAGCTATATATATATATATATATATATATATGTATGTATAGAGGATATATATATATATATATGGAGGTTAAATTTAAGTATTTTTAGACATGTTTTCTTAAAAAGTAGTTTAGATAATGACTTCAAACATTTTTCAAGGATAATATAGAATATTTTATACACTTTTTTATACTATGTAATATAATATTTTAGATATCTTTAATATATACATATATATATACATATTTCTCACATTTATATATTTTAGATATAACATATATATATATATATATATATATATATATATATTATATCTGTAATATAATATTTTAGATATCTTTAATATTTTAGATATCTTTAACGAGAATAAGATTTATCACATATTTCTCCTCCAAAAATATTAAATACACATAATAAAAAGTTAATAGAAAAAAAATACATATTTAAATATTGTCTTCAATTTTTGTATTATTATCACTTATATATAAAATTCTATTTTATTTGTTATATTTTACATTAATCTCGATCTGTATTTGTAAAATTAATATATCTCCATAAAGCGTGGAATTGTTATGCGTATAAAATTTCTTTTTAACGGTTACAACTTATAAAAAAATAATAGTTCAGAAATACCGTCATAATTCTCGGCATCATGTCATTATTTATTTTATATATAAGTGGTAAATTTTCTCTCAAAAAATTTATAATATTTTAATGTAGGCTTATGATATTGTAGATACATTTATATAATATTTTATCATGTCATATTATATCTTTATATACATATACAAGTATATATATATATATATATATATATTAAATTTAAATATTATTAAACATGTTTTCTTTACAACAAGTTTAGAAAATATCTTTCATACAAATGTAAAATTTAAATATTTTTAAACATCTTTTTTTCTAAAATAGTTTAAAAAATTGTAGGTGACTTCACATCTTTTAATAATAATACATAAACTTTTACATACTTTTACATGTTTTTAATATTTTAAACATGCAAACTTTATGTTCTCTTATACAAGTTAATTTTATATTGATGATAATAAACTGATGTACGACGATAAATTATATCACATGTTAACCTCACATCTTTAATTTATGTATTTTTTTTGCTTTTCTGAAATAGGATAATGGTTCTTCACCACTCGAACTCAAGACTAATTTATAATTATTATTTAATATAATTACCCGTGCATCGGGCTACACACTAGTTTTCAATTGAAATGTCACTATTTTCTGATAATGATAACCCCAGTTTAGGTTTCTTTAGAACTATTCTAGGGGAAGACAAATAGTTTGTGCACACCCTAAGTGCTTTTAGGATTGCTGCATATGAACTATTTTTGCATTGACTTCTCACTCTTTTAGTTGTCTATATGTTTTGTATTGTAAGAAATATTGGTTTTAGACTATTTACGATACTACATGTCACAAGTAGAAGATTTAAAATAAAATCTTAAAACCATTTTAGTTTGAATGATAATTTAATTCTGGCACGTAAAAGACTTTCGATCGGCTTGGTTCAGCCTGGTACGCCTTTCCTCGCGGGTGGATGATCTTCAAGACCTGCAAAAACTCAATCCTGAGTGGCTTTCCCGTGCAAATTCTCCGATGCTTAAGTTAGAGTTATGTAAGAGATGATGAATAGTAGTTTCAGTATAGTAAAAAGTGTTAAGCCGAAAGACTTAACCTACAACACCCCTAATAAGGGGTGTTGTATCTCGTTCCCCAAGCTTGCTCAAAGAGTTGACCTAGCTGCCCCAACTGCCCGTCCGTACAACCTGCACTGCCCCAAGTGCCAGACTTGTCAAGTGGTCAGATGACCCTATTTTGTGGTGATATGTGGTCCAATCCCTAAACGACGTTGCTACCGACTTAGATGCCTTTTTGTTCGTCCATCTTCTTTATCAGACGATCTTATTATGAGACCATCTTCACGTCACCGGGTAGAACACTTTCGCCGCTTGGCTCACCACCCAAGTACAGAGGTCGATGATTTGAACAACCCTTCGACAAGTCGAGGTTTCCGTTAAGCCATCCGAGGAATTTTCCTCGACCTGAATATTTTTCATTCAACCTCTGGCTCTGTTCGCCCTATTGATTTACACGATCCAATGGGTTGATTTCGCGAGTCAAGCTGATCCTGTATAATATCTCATATCATCTAGTCCCTCCCTCTCCCACTCTGGTCAAGCTAGGATAGCTCGATCAAATAGTAGATTCATTATGCCTATTTTCCATTATGGTACATTTGCTTTTGTTGGATGATGCTCAACGTGTTAGAGGTATGCTGTAAAATCTCGGTTTTGCAGATTCTAGTAATTCCATTTTGATCTGGCCATCATGTTACGGTCAAAGTACATATGCTTGCAGTTTATTTACTTATGCAATCATACTCCTTGTCTTACATTGAGATAGTATAGTTCGTGGTGTCTCGAACATAAAGATAATCTATCGGTTCCTTGTAAGACTAAATTATTCGTTCACAGTCTAGACAAGCATTGAGACCTCTCTTGGAAAAAGACTGTAGTGTATTCTTAATTCAGTTTATCTTTGGCTGGAGAATTACACTAGTACTTATGATAAGTATTGAACATGACCACAGAAGGATAAGATTATGAGACTCACTGATCGTTGTTGTGATCTAGACCTTCAACAATTGATGCGTACTCTTAAGCTGTAAGATAATATAAAATAGGCATATGTATTCATTACTTGTTTATTTGATTTACCAAGGATGATTCGTATTCTGCTAGGATGACATACTCGATATTTTGGTAAATAAGTGTGTTTATATGATGTGTTGTTACAAATTTTATACTGTCACTGTGTTCCAGTGCGCTGGGTTGATGACGTCCCCGAAATGAGTTCAGGAAAGAATATTATGTCAAACCATGCAGGCGGATGTGTATCCGACATAATGATTAATGTTCTGAGTGGTACTAGTTTCGGAAATGAATAAGAAGTTGATTAATTATTTTGTCAGTAATTTAATTAATCAACGGACGTTATATCGTAAGCTTGGGGAGATAAATCGATTAATTAGATTAATATTTATTGATCAAGTGGAGGTTCGAATTTATTGAATAAATTGGAGCTAAAGTGGTGCTAAATATTTATTGAATGTTTTATTATTTAATTCTATTTAGGAAATTAGGAATTAATTATATTCTATAATTAAGATTTCATTAGGAGAGGAATATTCCTTCTAAAATATTATCTAGGGTTAGGAGACTATGGAGTCTTCTAGAAGGTAATAAAGGTTAGGAGGAATAGGACTTCTAGATGGGATAGGATATGGAGCATAATTAGGATTCCTAAGCCTAATGGGATAACTCATATTTAGCCTATAAATATACCATGTCCCAACCTCTCTAATGTAGCCTATAAATATACCATGTCCCAACCTCTCCCCCTAATGCATGTTGAACGATTTTAAGGTTCCTATAAGGAAGAGGAAAATCGTGTTCTTCATATATTTGAGAGTTAGGGAGTT